GAGCCAGCATGGGGGTGTTGGGAACTGAACTCCAATCCTCTGCAAGAGTGACTAGCGTCTTTACTGCTGAGCCATCTCTATAGCCCTTTTCATATTTTGTTTTCTTTCCTTTTTTTGAGACAGGGTTTCTCTATGTAGGCCTTGCTATCCTGGAACTCACTATGTAGACCAGGCTAATCAAATCTCAAACGTACAGAGATTCACCTGTCTCTGCCTCCTGAGTGCTGGGATTAAAAACCTGCGCCACTAACACCCCTACACCCATCTTATTTCTGAGACATTTCTTGAGGTAGGATCTCATGTAGCTAGTAGAGTCAGTTGTCAGCCTTGAAATCATCAAGACTTCAGCAACAAAACAGACTCAGCTGGGTGTTTATGTATCTATTATTATATTTACATATGTTTGTACATACACATACATCTATAAGTATGTAACAATAATAAAGAAAAAGAGGCTATAGAATTGAGAGCCATAGGAGGGACTCATAGGCAGATAGATGGCTGGGATGGGTTAGAGGAAGCAAAGGGAGGGGAGAAAGAAATGGAATGAATATCTTTCAAGTTTCTGTTGAAAATGTAAATTTCTTTTTCTGAGGATATGTAAGACCATTGGGGGTACGGTCTAAAATAAAAATCATAAAAATCAACAAAATCAAAAGCAGATTAAAAAGTTAGCTTAAAACTTGTAAAATGTCAGGCAGTGGTGGCACTTACCATTAATCCCAGCACTCAGGCAGGATCTTTGCGACTTCAAAGTCCAGCCTGGTCTACAGAGTGTGTTCTAGAACAGGCTCCAGAGCTACAGAGAAACCCTGTCTCAACCCCCACTGATTTCCAGTGTCCAGGCTGACCGCAGATGGAGTATGGCCTCAGCAGCAGCAGATAATCTGAACAATATCTTGCCAAATGACCACCCTGTCTGCATTTGTAGCAGGTTCCTGGAGGAATTGACTTGGGTTGAGCTCCAGTGGGATGGAGCCATGTGGTGGTTGACTTCCCTTGTACCCCTTGTGGCCTCAGGGCAGTTACTAAGGCTTGGGCTTGGAGCATGGCTTTGTCCGTCAGGAGGACTTGGCTGCTGCCTCTTCTGGGGCACTGAAAACTTTAAAAGCCTTTTTTTTTTTTTTAAACCAGTACCTGTATGGGAGTTTGGGTTCCCTTCTTCTGCCTTTTTTAATTGCCTTGTAATATCTGGTGTTGACTGAGAAATGAAATGGGTGGCTAGGATGGTGGCTCCCAAAGGGGAGGCCAGGTCAAGCATAGGCCAGTGTGTAGAGGGGGACAAGGAGGTGCCGCAGAAGGACAGGGAGGGGCGGCAGGGGGAAGTGAAAAAGAGAGGAAAGTGGGTAAAAAGGAGGAAGTTGTTACTCCTCTGTCCTGGAGGGGAAAAATGGAGGAAGAGGTGGATAGGGGGAGGAATGTGGGCCACTGAATGAAACATGTGGCCCCATAGGAGGGCGTTGGGCAGGCAGGATTAGAGGGTGAGGGAGGGCCCAGTGTCTTGTGCAGCAAGGTCGAGGTGAATTTTCAGGGTCCCAGTTCTGGGATAGGCAGGAATCTGGAGGCACCTTGATCCTAGCCAACAACAGACACTGGCTACCGAGGGAAGGGCAGGAGAGCAGTGTCCAGAAACTGTGGACATATGGGGGTTCTGTTCACTTGTCCCCTCCGGTGGCCATAATATCCCATTGTCAAGGGCATATTGAGGCCAGGCCTTAGTGTATAGCGAAATCAGGTGTTTAGGACATATGGTGTCAGATAGCCCCGATTTAAAAAGATTTTTGTAAAAGGCAGCCCAAGGGCATTTAGGGATCTGGCTTTGAATGGCAGGTGCCCATTTCACAAGTCTATGCCTGATCCCAAAGCTTAATGCAATGCGTCCACTGCAGGAAGTCTTGGGTCAAAAGCAGAGGGGGTGTGAGAGATTCCCTTGAAAAAAACATCTTCTGAAGAAGGGTTCCCACAGGACAAGGTAGGTTATTGTTCCAGTAATGGGGGGGGGGCTGACACGGCCTAGTCTTTGACAAGACACCCCGAAAAATTGAAGGAGGCCCTGGGCCTCTAAGGCAATGACTTAGAAAGGATACCTTACACTTGAAAGCTGATCTTAGCCTGGTGGAGAGCAGGTGTCAGGGAGAAGGGTGTTTTCCCACCACATGGTCCTGGACCAACAGGGGGTAGAAGGGTGGGGGGTGGGGGAGGGACACAGAGGGACGGGGGTACGGGGGACAGGCCCCTCCATGGAACCTCCAGATGAAAAGTTTCTACACCCCAATAAACATCTCTGCCAATGCAACAATCCAAATCAGACCAAATGAAACCAAATTAGAAAAGTCCCATGTTTAATGGATATAGCGCTCCTAGATGGCCTTCCAATCCCTAAGAGAAGAGACAGGAAAGGAAGGCTGGAAAAACCTTGAGTCTGTTCTCCGGGGAGAAAGTTTAAATACCCTGTGGGAGTGGTCTTGAGTATCTCTGGGGGAGGGGCCATCATTTGGCAGGCTGAGATGCAGCAGGGTTTAGAGGGCTATGGGGGAGGAGGCTTGGGTAGAACCTCTACCATAATATCCCAGACTCTGGGTGTGTGAACGCTAGGGGCTGGGGTGAAGCTTCCACCAGAACAATGAACAAATAATGTCTAGTAAGTGTCTACTAGAGGGCTAGTGTAAGGTATTTGCTGTCAAACCTGAGTTCAATTCCCGGGACTCACACAAAGAAAGGGGAGAATCATCTCCCCAAAGTTGTTGTTCTGACCTTCATAAAGGAACCTTAGCACACATTCTCATAAACAAACAAATACATGTAATTTTTTTAAAAATCTAGTACAATACCAGAGCTATCATATAGCTTAGCTTTCAAGAAAGAAATAAGGACCACAAGGAAAATTTTGTGGTGACCCAAGTGACAGGGGTGACACAGGGCAGGGAACAGTGAAGCAAACCAAGAATTCACAGAAGGGCTGGAACCACAGCCTCGTCTGCTGCTCCAGGAGAGAGAGAGGGAGGCGGAAATAACTAAGCTTTTCTTTTTTTTTTTTTACTTTCCAGACTCCAATGCTACCTACTAATACCCAGTGTAAGGAGCAAGGTTTTTCCTCCTGCCGCTAGTCTTGTCCCGTGCCAGCCCCAATTAACGCACAGAGACTCTGTATTAGATACAATGCTGTTGGCCAGGTACTAGTTTCTTATCAGCTAGCTCTGTCTTAATTATTAACCCATTTCTGTTAATCTATGTATTTCCACGTGGTCTCATCTTACCGGAGAGCCGGCTGGCGTCCTGCTCTCTCCAGACTCTCCATCTTGACTCCACCTTCCTACTTCCTCTTTCCTCCTTGTCTCCTAGTCCTGCCTATCTTGCTTTCTTCCTATTGGCCAACAGTGCTTTATTCATTAACCAGTATGAGAAACATATTTACAGAATGACATCTCAGTCCAGGCCTGAAGTCTCCTGCCTTTAGCTAGCCCGTTGCAAAACAGACCTCAGAACACCCAAGGGACCTGGCTCTTGGGCAAAACAAAAAGAACAGCCTTTAGATAGGAATTAGCCAGGCTTAGGAAATAGCTTCAATTGGAATATCTATAAAGTACTGGATACACTTCAAAGTAATGAAACTTTCTTTAATTCCTTATTGAAGCCACCAGTATGTGGTAGCAGCACACACATTTATTACTATTTTATTATCGGTTTTTTGATACAGGGTTTTTCTGTGTAAGAGCCCTGGCTGTCCTAACTCACTCTGTAGACTAGGCTGGCCTCCAACTCAGAGATCGGCCTGCATCTGCCTCCCAAGTGCTAAGATTAAAGGCGTTCACATTACTGCCTAGCTAGGATGCTTTTAATCCTAGCATTTGGAAAACCTAGGGAAGGGGAAGAGTTCCAGGGCAACTAGGGTTACACAAGTTCCAGGCCAGGCTAACTACAAAACAAATTATTTTCTCAACAAAATGAAAGCTAGTGATGCAGTGGTGTTGTGCTGGGCATACCCAGGGTGCATACACACACAAAATACTGTAAGAAAACAGTTTATTTCTCTTCTTCTGTTCCTTAGCCTTCTAGACCACCCCGAATTATTACTGTTTCTGAGCTAATTTAGTGGCACTTTAAATCAGAATTTTTAGTACCAGACATTTTTGCTGTTTTTCAGCAAAATCTAGTGAAATCTAGTGTGTGTGTGGGGGTGGGGTGGGGTGGGATGTGATGAGGTGTTCCATAGATGAGTGAGAGCCCATTGTAATAGCCTCCACCCAGGGTATGAATGCCAGGCAGCAGCGCCATGGCAACCACATCCCGATCTTGGAGGTTCTCAAGGGATTTGCTGTGTCCTGGGAAAAGGCCACACACACTGGACTCACGTTTTTAAAAAACGGAAATTATATCCACCGGGAAGAGGTTTACACACGCCCACACGTCACACCAGTCCTCTTCATCATCTAGACTCTTTGTTTAGGTGGATCCAAAAGGATTTATTTATTTATTTATTTATTTATTTATTTATTTATTTATTTATTTATTTTTGCGAGAGTGTATAAACTAGTAAAAACAAACAAGGCATAAAGCAAATTAGAAGAGATGTCTTCGTCACGATTCTGAGCCTAGGTCCTTCCCACACCTCAGCCGCTCTTTTTTCGTCGGGATGCTTTTCAGGCGGCTAGTCGAGAGAAAGCCAAAAAGCAAAATGCGGAGCCTCCCCGCAGCGCCCTCTCCGCCAGCGGCAGGTGGGGCTGTCCCGCTGGGTCTCCAAGGCTGCGGACGCCCCTCCCACGGTCAACTCCAGGGTTCTCAGCGACATAAAGCAGCCTGAGAGTCCGCGCTGCCCGGGGTTCTGGAACAGACGCGTGCCTGGGGCGGGGCTAGAAGCAGGCCCTCGCGTGATTGGTCGTCTGAGCCAGGAGGCGGGGCTGCCGGACGGACGCTGACAATGAGCCTCCATAAAAGGGAGCGGAGGGGTCGGGGGCCCCGGATCGAGCCCTCCCCGCCTGGGGTCGTGACGCGCTGAATCCCGTGGCTGGCTGGCTGGCCGGGCGGGCGGCCGGGCGGCCGCGGGTGAGCTAGGCGGTCGGCGGGCCCTGCGTGGTCCGGGGCAGGAGGCGGCCGCCAGTGGCGGCGCGCCGAGGCCTGCGCGCCCGTCCTCCCCTATCGGGTCGCCCTTCTCCGCCTCGCCATGGCCCTGAGAGCGGAGGGCGCCGCGGCGCTCGATTGCTTTGAGGTGACTCTCAAGTGTGAGGAAGGGGAAGACGACGAGGAGGCCGTGGTGGTTGCCGTGATCCCGCGCCCTGAGCCGATGCTCCGAGGTAAGGGGGAGGGGGTAACCTCACTTCCGCATGGCGGCCAGGGGCTCAGCCCCCTATTCCCGATCTCTGGTGTCCAGGCGCGGCCCGGGGCAGCGCCTGTAGCCCGGGAGGGTCCTTCCCTGTCGGGTCTACGGCGGGCGCGCTCCCGCGCTCCTCCCCCACCGGGGTTTGGAATCCCAGGCCTCTCGGAGCCCCCTCCCTCCGCCTCCCCTCCCCCGCTCAGGGTCTGGAGACTTCCATCTACACCGAACGAGCGCTTCTGGTCTTCCGGTTCCCTGCGCCCCCTTGGGCCCAGCGTAGGGGCCGGATTCCCAGGACCATGGTTTGTGCGTTGCCGCCGTCTCCCAACCGCCTGTGTTCTAGGCCGAGGGGCGACCAGGCCTCTAGGCCCCAGGCTGGTCGCCGTAGCGGTAACAGGGGTGAAAGCTATCATGGCTGGTAATTTCCCGGGAAGAGGATTTTAAGAGCCCCGCCAAATAGAACCAGTCCTACTCCCATCCCCAGGCCTTCTCTCGAAGGAGCCACAGGTGTCAGTTCTAGAACCTGGCCGTTGAATGGAACTGCAAGCAGCACCCAGTTTAAGAAAAGCGGGGCTTGTTTGGGGGTGGTGCTAAGCCATCTACATGGAGATTAGTCACCAAAGGAGGTATTTGAGAGACGATCTTGAAATAACTGGCTCCCTCCCTTCCCTTCTCCCTTTCTTTGGTCCAAAGGAGAAAACAAAGAGCTACCTTTGTGGAAGACTATTAGTCGTGAAAATGCAAATATTTCCTTATGGTGGACTAGCCTGTTTCCTTTAAGCAAGACAGTACCCAAAAGTCCTTCGCTGTGCTTAAGGATTTCTGCACTCCTCCTCCCTTTTAGAGATGGGAGGGTTAGAAAATTCGAGAAATAAAGGCCATGTTCCTCTGAATGTTTGCATCACACAGGTTCTTTTCTGCTTGTGCTGGTTTATGGAGTGCTGGCTCCGCTGTTGTCAAATGCTGGAAGTTAATCCACTCAACAGCCCTGCCAGGGTGGCCTCATCACTGTTAAAAGGAAATAGACATCTACAGAGGTTCATTCATTCAACTATATTTATTTATTGGGCAATTATATGCCAAGCATTGTTTCAGGCACTGGGGGTGGGAGGGTGGTAACAGTGGTGAGCAGGGTAAATGAAACCCTGCTTTGAACATACATCACAGTGACAGCCAACAGGTAAATTGTGTAGCACAGATAATAAAAACCCAGAGACAGATATTATCTGGGAAAACAAAGATGAGGGAAGCAAAGCACCCAAGCCACTAGGAAGTTCTAAACCTCCACCAAGGCTAAGACCAAAAGGGTCGATCTGTCCTCAGGTGCCTGCAGACTGAATACACTGCATTCCTGTCCACCTGCCTTATATTCCTCTCTATTGTGCTGGAATAAAGGCATACACCACCATCACCCAGCTTCTATGGCTGACTAGTGTGGCTTCTGGGATTAAAGATGTATACTACCATTGCCTGGCCTATATGGCTGTCTAGTGTGGCTAGCTTTGCACTCTGATCTTCAGACAAGCTTTGTTAGATCATAGATCATAAAGTATCACCACAAAATTGAACTGTAGTGTGTTAGATGACAATGAGTTCTTTCTTACTTTGTGTGTCACAGCATGCATAAAGAGATCAGAACTCCCTTTTTTGTTTGTTTGTTTGGTATTTTGAGACAGGGTTTCTCTGTTGCTTTGTAGATGATACTGGGACCAGCTCTGTAGATCAAGCTGGCCTTGGACTCACAGATCTTCCTGCCTCTGTCTCCCAAGTGTTGAGATCAAAGGTGTGTACCACCATGTGGGAATGAAATTTGGCTCATCAGGTTTGGCAACATGAGCTTTTACCAACTCAGCCATCTCCCTGGCCCAGCAGTCAGTTTTTTAGGGAACATAAAAGTGGAATAGAGAAGTGGGGATGTGGCAAGAATTTTGTTTATATCCAGTGGTTAGGAAAAGTATCTCTAGTAAGAAGGGAAGAATGGGGTGATGGTAGAAAACACCTTTAATCCCAGCACTGCACAGATAAACCCTGTTTTGAAAACAAAATAATAACAAAAGAATGGATGGAAGAGGTCTTAGAAGAGCAAGTACAAAGATTCTAGAGGCTGACACAAGGTTCTAGAAAGATCTGAGGTATGAGAAAGTGGATGAATTCAAAGCTTTGTTCTTTGGACTCAGCATGGTATACACCTTTAATTCTGTCACTAAGGAAGCAGAGGTAGGCAGATCTCTTGAGTTTCAGGTCATCCTAGTCTAATCTAGTGAGTTGCAGGCCAACCAGAGCTATAGTTAGACAGTGTTTTAAAGAAGAAAGAAAGGGTTTTTTTTTGTTTGTTTGTTTGTTTGTTTTTTGTTTTTGGTCTTAATTTTCTTTTGTGACAAACACCATGACCATGGCAACTTTTTGTGGGACTTGGCATATAACCTTTAATCCCAGAGCTTGGAAAGCAGAGGACAGTGTTGCTGGTTTTTCTTTTCCCACCAGGTCCCACTGCAGTTCAACCCCAAATGAACATCCAGAGACTGATGGCTAGGGCTTCTATTGGCCAGCTCTGTCTTAATTATTGACCTATTTCTATAAATCTTAAGTATTTCCATGTGGTCTTATTTTTTTTTTTTCCTCTTTGCCTACCTCTCTTAGAATTCTCCTCGTCTCCTAGTCTGGTAGCCCCATTTATCCTTCCTGCCTGGCCACTGGGCAAATAGTGTTTCATTCATGAACGTAAGAGAATCGTATACAGTAGGACATCTCCCATTAGACAAGCTGGCAGATCTCAAAATTCAAGGCTAGCCTGGTCTATAGAAGATAGCCAGAGTTACACAGGAAAGCTTTCTCAAGGGAAAACAATTGGGAGCTTAGAGTCCATGACCATCATGGCCAGGAGCACAGCTGCAGGCGAGCAAGCATGGTGCTGGAGCAGCACCCATGATCCAAGAGCACAAGGCAGAGTACAGGAGCTAACTGGGAGATGCAGAGGGAAAGAGAGCAGAAGTCCTAACTGGGGATGGCATAGTACATTTGAAACCTCAAAGCCCCAACACCTAACACCACCACACCTGATTCTTTCCAGTTACACTAACTGGATCAGGCATTCATATACAGGATTCTTTTGGGCCATTCTCATTCAAACCACCACAGTTTTGTTCTTTGCAAGTGGAACAATTATCTACCAGTTTACTGAGTCAGACAGGGCTGAGATTTATTTAGACTTGTTGGAAGATTGGGATAGGTTTTTCAATACGGTTAAATTCACAGTGTCTCTTTCAGGCTCTAGCAGGTGATTAGCTAAGCGTTTGGATATCTATACCTAGAATTCTCATGAGTACTTTGTCAGGCCTGATGATCAGGCTTGTAATCTGAGATACTCAGGAGGCTGATGCAGAAGGATCACAAATTCTCAGCCATCCTGGACAGTAGGTCTTTTCTCAAAAAATAAAAAAATAGCTGGAGATAGAGCTCATTGATAATACACTTGCTAAATAACAACACCGAGATAAATAAAATATGGGAGTTGTCAGTAGGCAATAGATAAAGATTACCTCGAGGAGGAGGTGGTCAAAAAGAGTCAAAAGGGCTGAGACCAGTCCCTTGTCATTTTCCCCTAGTACTGTTGTGCTTGAGGTTTAGAGACAAAACAGAAATCTATCAAGGGCCAGTGCTGTGCTGTGGAGGAAACAAAGCAGAAGGGAGTGATGTGGTCAGCTGGGAGGTTACCGCTCCTGCAGGAAGTTAAGAAAATATTTTTCAGAGTGACTAGAGGAGGAATAGGCAAGTAAGTGAGACAAGTGGTTCCCTGAATGCTTTTGAGTAGTAGAAGTCAAGATGGGAAAGGTGACTGAGTGAAAGAACTGCTGTCTGGGTTGGTGACCTTCGCAAGACCTGGTTTAGAATAGAGGGGAAGAAGGCCAGTTGAAACGTGGGCATTCTGTCACCTGGGAGTAAGGTTCTAGGTTCTAGACTGTTTTAGATGCTACCTCTTTCTAAAGCCCAAGGTATGAAGGAGTCCCAGTTGATAGGGTTACGGACCCCAAGGATCATACCCTCTTGACTGAGGGTTCTGGTCTGTGGGAACTTTTGGTTCTCATCTACAGAGAGCCAATAACACAAGCCAAAGAGGGTAAGACCATCATTGCAAATAATTCTGGAGCGCCCTGGAAAAGGAAGGCTGGTTGTGAGAGACAGGTTGACTTTCAGGAGAAGCCTCAACCTGTAGAGGAACAGGCGGGGCAGCTATTCCCTGGTGTGCCAGTTCTTTTGGTAACAATAAGATGATCAAATTTAGCATCCTTGCCCTCAAAAGAATATATATTATTGTGGTTAAACCTGGTGCCACCTGCAAAGAGAGAACCTCAGTTGAGGAGTTGCTGCCCTCAGGTTACCCTATTGATTTATCTGGGGAACAGTTACTTGATTGCTGATTGATATAGGTAAGCCTGAGCTGTGTAAGAAGCCTGGGAATAAGCCAGTAAGCCCCTTTTCTCTGATTTCTATTTCCAGCTACCACCTTGGTGTCCCTGGATGATGGGCTATACTTTTAAGTAAACCCTTTCCTCCCTTTCTTAGTTAGGGTTACTGCTGCTGTGATGATCATGATCAAAAGCAACTTGAGGTATAAAGGGTTTATTTCATTCACGTTCTATTCAACAGTTCATTATCAAAAGCAGTGAGGGCAGGAGGTCATGCAGGGCAGGAACCTGGAGGGGGGATGCTGCTTACTAGCTTGCTCTTGCAGTTTATTCAGCCTGCTTTTTGTTTGTTTCTTTGTTTTGTTTTTTGAGACAGGGTTTTTCTGTGTAATAGTCCTGGCTGTCCTGGAACTCACTCTATAGACCAGCCTAACCTGGAACTCAGAGAGATACGCCTGCCTCTGCTTTCCCAGTGCTGGAATTGAAGGCATGTACCACTACTTCCCCAGCTTCAGCCTGCTTTTTTATAGAACCTAGAACCACCAACCCAGAGATGGCCCTACCTATATGCGCTGGACCCTTCCACATCAGTCACTAAGAAAATGTTCTACAGGCTTGCCTACAGCTTATGGGAGCATTTTTCTCAATTGAGGCATTCTCTAGTAACTCTAGCTTGTGTCAAGTTGACATAAAACTACCTAGCATACTCCCCTACTTGCTTAGTGTTTATCACAGCAACAGAAACCAAATTAGGACAGAAATTGATACCAGGAAAGTAGTTTTGGGGTTTGTGGAACCATTTAGAACTTGGCCAGGAAATACTGAGAGTTTAATGAGCTGTAGTAGGAGGATAAGAATTTGAGAGAAGCCAGGCGTGGTGGTGTAGGATATTTTGGTGGAAGAGACATGCTGATCTCTTGAGTTGTAGGGTTAGGCAGAAGTTTCTGTCTCACCAGCAACTTCCAAATAAGCACACTGAGGCTTAATATTATAAATGTTTGGCAAATAGCTCAGGCTTATAACTACCTAACTCTTATATCTTCAATTAACCCATATTTCTTACCTTACCTCTGTGGCTTGATACCTTTTTTTTTTTTTTCTCCCTCCCCAGTATGTCGTGTCCATCTTGCTTCTCTCTGCATCTGCTCACAACTCCTGACTCCACCTTTCTTCATCCCAGCATCCTTAGTTTGGTTATCCTGCCTATACTTCCTACCTGGCTACTGGCCAGTCAGTTCTTTGTTAGCCAGTGAGAGTAATACATAAAGTATACAGAAGGATTATTTCATAGAATTCTAGGACAACCAAGATTACTCAGGGAAACCTTGTGTTGGTGTGGGAAATTGTTGAGAGAAATGCAGCTGATCAAGGGTTGGCTTGTGAAGTTTCAGGGGGAAGTGAAACTTTTGGTTTCTCTGAGACAAGGTTTCTCTGTGTAGTCCTGACTGTTCTGAACTCTGTAAATCAGACTGGCCTTGAACTCAGAGATCCACCTCCCACTGCCTCCTGAGTGCTGGGATTAAATGTGTGCCACCACTGCCTCGCAGGAAGTAGACTCTTATGGGGCAGTTTGTATGATTTATTTCAATATTAAGAATCTGCAAGTGAAACCTAGGTTTTGCTGGAATAATGGATGTTGGTTACCTGGTGCTGAAAAAAAAACGAGTAGTAATTACAAAAGTCTAGCATGGCGTCAAGTGTTTCCTCAGGGTCAGCACACAAAATCTGGTGGTCCAGAGGGGAGCAAAGGCTGGAAATTGAACATGTCAGTATGTAAAACTAATCCATATGGTACTGATTTTGAAGGCATAAAGAAGTGAAATAAACTACCTAGTTTTCATCATTAGCTTGACCCAGTTTTTAGAGTCACCTTGGAAGAGGGAACCTCAGTTGAAGAATTGCTTCCTTCAGATTGGCTTGTGGGCAATGTCTTTTGGAAATTGTCTTGATTGATATGGGAGGGAGGTCCCAGCCCACTGTGGGTGGCACCATCCCTAGGCTAGTGAGCCTGAGCTATGTAAGAAAGAAAAGCTGAACAAGCTAGAGAGGGAGGGCTGGCTGGCTTGCTTGCTTGCTTGCTTGCTTGATTTGGTTTCTCAAAACAGGGTAGCCGTGGCCATCCTACCTGCTCTGACTCCTAAATGCTGGGATTAAAAGCGTGTGCTGAGGGAGCAAGTTTTCAAGCAACATTCTTCTTTCAAACTCCTACCCTGAACCCTTTCTACTTTGGCTTTGTTGATGATAAACTGTAACCTGTAACCCTTTACTCCCCAAGTTGCTTTGGTCTTGGTGTTTTATTATAACAGAAAACAAAAAGGAAACTATAGAACAATTGAAAAGCTGAATCTGGTAGTGAAACCCTATAAACCTACCTATTCAAGAAGCCGAGATAGTAGAATTGCATGTTCAAGCCCAGCCTGGGTAACTAAGCAGGACCCTGACTTCTATTGCCAGAATCTGTAAAGGTGGAAGAATAGGATTTCATCCCACAGGGTTGTCCTCTGGCCTCCACATGCACTCCTTGGCACACGTGTTGCCCTATTATACATACACTAAGTAATACTTGAAAGGAAGAAGGCTAGAGCAATATCTCAGTGGGTAGAGTACTTGCCTAGCATACATGAAGCTCTGGGTTTGATCCCTAATACTCAGATACCAGGCATGATGGCACATGTTGCACTCAGGAGGTGAAGCAGGAAGGTCAGAGTTAAAGATTATCTTCATCTGCATAGTGTATTTGAAGTCAGCTTGACTATTTGAGACTGAAATGTGTATTGTGGCCTACAAATCAGATATGGGTGCAGTTGACTATTGGGTGAGGAAACCTCCCTGGAATGAATGATACCTGTCAGATGATCAGAGAGGTCAAGGCAGACACAGGGTGTCCAGTAGGCCCAGAAACATATGGGATGGGAGTCGTGACTAAATGAGAGGTAGTATAAGGGTGAAGATAGAGTATCAGGCACCCTGTGCCTCATGCTGGTCTGTTAGGATCTGGTGGAGAGGTACAACATTGCACAGGAAACCCCTCACCCACCCCATACAGATGTGTTCTGAGCATCACCAGCCCTGGCCTCTTCACAGTATTTTCCCCTTTCTGCAGTAACTCAACAGGAAAAGACGCCACCACCTAGGCCTAACCTGCTGGAAGCAGGAGTTGAAGGCTGTGAGGAGCTCAAGCAGCAAGTGTCCTGGGAACAGGAGTTCCTGGTGGGGAACAGCCCAGGCGGCAGTGGACGGGCGCTGTGCATGGTGTGTGGGGCTGAGATCCGGTTCCCATCAGCAGATACTGCTCGCACACATATCCTGGAGCAGCATCCCCATACCCTGGACCTGAGCCCCTCTGAGAAGAACAACATCTTGGAAGCCTGGAGTGAAGGGGTGGCCCTTCTGCAAGATATCCAAGCTGACCAGCCATCCCTGCCCAGCCTAGGTAGTGAGGGTGAGGGCTGAGGGAAAAGTGGGGCCTGTGGGGGCCCTGGAGCTCAGTGGGCTTTTGCCCCCTTCAGAATCAGGCCAGGATGGCCAACCAGACCCCAACTCCAACCCGGACCCTGTCAGGATGCCAGCAGAAATCGTGGTTCTCTTGGACTCAGAGGACAACCCATCTCTCCCTAAGAGGCTCCGGCCCAGAGGACTCCGCCCCCTTGATCTGCCTGGTCAGTTAACGAGGAGCTAAGGCTCAGTGGGAGACCCTGTGCTGTGTGCTGGGGTGGGCAGGTGTTCTCTGTCTGAGGCTAAAGAGTTCAGGCATGGAGGCCTTAAAGTGGTGCTAAGGTTTTTTTCATTTTACAGTTGCCCCTGTCACAGAGCCAGGAAATAAGAAGCCCCGTGGTCAGAGATGGAAGGAGTCTCCTGAGGAGGAACCTGCTAGAAAGAAGAGAAGCAGGCATATGACCAAAACCCTGGACCCTGATCCAGGTGAGGGTGTGCGGGTGCTGGGCCTGGCTGTGGCATGATAGCATGAGCCCCTGAAGGAATGGACATGTAGAGTGGGCCTGCATGGAGCTCAGCTGAGGCCTAAGGCTTCTTTAGCCTTTGGGCTCTTTCCTCCTCTTCTCACAGTTCTTCATGGCCTTTTTCCAGAGCCCCCATCTCCTGAGTCACCCACAGAGACGTTTGCAGCACCAGCCGAAGTCCGGCACTTCACTGATGGCAGCTTCCCTCCTGGCTTTGTCCTCCAGCTATTCTCCCACACGCAGCTCAGGACCACAAACAGTAAGGACTCTTCTAAAGACAGCAAAGGAGCAGCTGAGGGCCTGCCTCAGCCCGAAAGTCCCTCTTCAGGTGAGCCCTCCTGGGAGGGGCTGTCAAGGAAGCTGAGTCCCTGGGTCACAGCCAGAGCCTTGGGTGGAGGTGCCCAGTGTTTAGGTCCCCAAGAGAAGGCCAAGGACAGATTTTGAATGCTGAGGAAGCTAGCCCCTGAGCTGAGCATCTCTAGAGGTGGTCATTAGGTTGTACTAGGCCTCTCAAAGCTTGGCACCCAACTCCATCCATGATGCTTGTTCCAGCTGGAGCCCTGGAAGAACTTACTAACACTGGTTATGTGGGGTCCAAGTAAGGTGTTCAGCCTTTTCAGCAGGTGTGGGGGACCACAGACAGGTGTTGAACATCAGACAGATACTCCATAGACCAACACAAGCTTAGTGAGCTTCTGTTGACAGCTTGTGTTTGTAACCTGTCCCACTGACTGAGAAACTTTTGTATGTAATTCATTTGGTCAAGCCAAGCATAATCCAACACTTGGAAGTCTAAGGCAGGAGTGAATGGAAAAATGAGAATAAAAAGGAAGGAGGACATGGCTACTCCTAGGTATGGTGGAGGAGAAAGTTTATTTTAGATAAAATGGAAAGCAGAGGCAGAGGCATCTGGGAGAGGCCAGAGTGGACGAACAGCCATTTCAGGAGGGGAGAGAGGGAAACCAGGTGCAGCAGCTAGAGTAGAAAGTAAAAGGGAGAGGATGTAGCATAAGTGGTTGGATTATATAGGGAAGGGCATCTGGGTAAGAACAGCACAGCCCCTGGGCTGGAGGTAAAGGACAGGGTATGCCACCAGTAGCTAGGGACTGGGGGTACTGGGACAACCTGGTGGCCAGGTCATTTTGATAAATAGGCACCTTAACCATTGGACTTTGAGACTTAACCAGGAGGATTGCCACAGGTTGGAGTTCTGCCTAGGTTACAGAGTGAAAAAGTGAAAAATTTATCTTTAAAAGCCAAAGCCCAGCCAGGCATTGGTGGTCATGCCTCTGAAGGCAGAGGCAGAGGCAGGCAGATCTCTGAGTTCAGGGTCATTCTGGTCTACAAAGCTAGTTCCAGGACAGTTCAAAGCAATACAGAGAAACCCTGTCTGGAAAAACAAACAAGGAAAAAGGGGGAGTGGGGGAGCCAAAGCCCAAAAAAGTACAATGCCTGTTTTTTGTTTTTTCAAAACAGGGCCTTGTATAGCCTAGGCTGGCCTCAAACTACTTAGCCAAGATTGGAATTGAACTCCTGATCCTTCTGCCTTCATTTTCCAGTGTTGACCCAAGAAGCTATTCACCACTGATAATCCTACTTTCTTCCTTGTTTATGTATTTGTTTATTTTTTTATGGGAGGGCACATGTATGCCATGGTATACAAGGGAGGCAGGGGACAGCCTGTAGGAGTCAGTTCTCTCCTGCTATGTGGGTCCTGAGAGTGAACTCAGGTCAGCCCCTTTCTGTGTGGGTTAGGGCTCTGGTCTTTTCTCACATCAGGTTTTACTTTCCTGACCTTTTCCTTTTTACCCTTCAATCCTCTACCTCATCACCGGAAAAAAACACATGTGCAGTCTTCTGCTCCTGGATCCTTTATTAACTAAGTTCTGAGCTTTTCCTAATGTCTTGCTTATGGAAGTAGAGCATGGGAAGGAAGCCTTATGATTTTGTTTTATTGAAGGACAAACTAAGCCAAGCATTGTAATGGTACATACCTATAGTCTCAGGCACTGCTTTTGATCTTAGGTACCTGATACTAGCTGGGCAAAGTAGCTACACCACACCTCAAAAGAAAAGCTAGGGTCTGTAGAGAAAACTCAGAGGCAAAAACACTTGCTGTACAAACCAGAGGATCTGAGTTCATGCCCAGATTCCACTATAGGAAAACACCAACTCCAAAAGTTGTCCTCTGACCTATACTCACACACCATGGCATTCAGCCTTGCATCATCCATAGCTCTCCTCCCAATAATAATAATACTAGTAATAATAATTAGTAGTAGTAAAGGGTAGTACACACCTTTAATCCTGGTACTTGGGATCTCTGAGTTCGAGGTCAGCCTAGTCTGCAGAGCAAATTTCAGCTGTTACAAAATAAGATGATGATGGAAAACTGGGAAATAAGGAAGATTAGGTTGCACACTAGAAGAACACTTGTTTAGCTTGTGTATTGTAGCACCTGCGCTATGATCTGTTCCACAAATCGGACGAAGGCCTAGAGATTGAAATAAAGAGACGAGATAGTGGATGCTGGTTCAATGGCAATGTTGGAACGCCAAATGCAAAATGCCATTTATTGAGAAGAAACGGGCTTAAATACTGACTTACAGCACATTGGAAAATAACAGGATTTTTAGGCTTAGCTCCTCCCTACGAAGTGTGTGTTATCAAGACGGGAAGAGTACCAAAAACAGCTTTGGGGCAAGGAGTTCCAGCCAACAGCTTCAGGCTTGCACAACGTGCCTTGGGGTCTATGCAGGGCCCTACAGTGTATAAAATCCCAATGTATATGGTTGTTTTGTCTGCATGCAAATATATATATATATATATATCCTGCATGCCTTGGTCTTGTTGAGGCCAGAAGTTTTTAAATCCCTGCAGAGTTACAGATGGTCGTGAGCTACGATGTAGATGCTGGGAATTGAAACTGAGTCCTTTGGAATAGCAGCCAGTGCTTTTAAGTACCAAATCATCCAGTACTAGTTCTATTGGTTTTGTTTTTTGTTTTTTTCCAGACAGTTATTCTGTAGACTAGACTGGCATTGACTCTCAATTCTCCTGCCTCAGCCTCCTGTGGCTCAGCCTTCTATGTCCAACAAAGATTAAGGGTTAAGGGATGGGCATGCCTTGAACATGTAAGGTTTCTTGGCTAGGATCTCTCACTCAGTAGGCTATAGCTCGTAATGCTATAGCCGTAATGCTATAGTCGGACACCCTGCTGCAAGCTTGATACTTAGCCCTGTTGTGTGACAAAACTTTCTTGGGAGTTGCCAAGTCACATACATCTATTTATGCCAGTTAGGGAATCAAACCAAAGTTCAATTTGGTGAGTTTTATTGGGCTGACATACAGGAATATGGATGAGAGGTTACTTACAGGAGTAGAAATGACTCAAAGACAGCTGCATCACCAAAGCCCACCCCAGCATGGGTGACATGTTGCTCATAAAGCTGGGAACCTAGAGCACACTGTACAGCCTCCAGGCAGTTCAGTAGGTTGGAGACTGTTCTTTCCTAGTTGAGCTAAATAAACCTCTTTAGGTAGCTTGGTTGGTTTCTTCTTTTTCCAAGCAAGTGGTCTGGTCTGGGGCAGCGTCTGTGAAGCTCTGCCTATGGTCAGTCATTTATGCAATTCAGCTTTACTTCTCTGGAAATGACTCCCAGCTTTGTTTATTCTTGCAGGGAGGGGCTTAGTGAATCTAATCAGTTTCCAGGACTTCCTGAAAGTATTTTGAGTTTTTACTTACTGCTTAAGGAGATTCCATGGGGAATAGAATGTTTTAATCTGAGAGGCCCAAATCTACCTTCTCTCAAGAGAAGCCCCTAGCAGGGATTAGTTTTTATCCCATTACAAGAGCAGTGGGTTTTCTCCTCTCTGGCACTCATCTTTTCTGCATCTTCTATCAGCCTACACAAAGCCACTGTTTCCTGACCCCTTCATTCCAATGGCTATGTCCTGTTTATTCCCAAGGTGGAAACTATACTCTGAACCTGCCTCTTGCCTCTAGCTCTGGAGTGTGCTGGGCTCAGACTTTATCATAACTGTTTTCTTCTTTGCTGGCATCTGACTGCCATAAAGTTAAAGCCAGTAGTTAGACCTGTGTGTTCTTTCCCCATCCTCCAAGTTATCCTGAAACAAAGTATATAGCCTTGTAGACCCTCATTCTCTTCTAAGTACCGGGGTTACAGATATGTATCATCACACTTGACATTTCTCATGTTCATAGCTTGCTTGTTCACTCTTGGTGCCTACAGTTGGTAACACATCATATTATTTATTATCTGTTGTCCCCATTTCAGAATGTAAACTTTCTGTGGTGGTCCCAGTGGTCATAACACATCCATGTTCAGCATACTCTTTATATGCATCTAGGAAATGACATCTGTGAGTTTGCAGCTTGGCCCTCTCTCCCTTTGGTTCCAAATTCTTTACTGGTAGTCAGGCATTATCTTATTTGGTCAATTAAAGTTGTCAACAGATGATATTGACAGTTGGCTATAATCTCAGCACTAGTGAGGCTTAGGCAAGAGGATAGTGAGTTTGAGGCCATCCTGTGCTATATAATGAGATCCTGTCTCAAACAAAACAAATAACCCTTGCACTCAAGAGGCAGAGGCAGGCAGATTGTTGAGAGTTTGTGACCAGTCTGACCTACATTAGCAACTTCCAGGGCAGCCAAGTCTATATAGTGAAACTAAGTCAACCAAAAAAGAAAACAGAAAAGTTTTGTTTTCTTGTTTAGTTTTTGAGACAGGTTTTCTCAGTTCAGAAAAGGTTTTTTTGGTTTTGTTTTCAGACACCATTTACTACTAAGTCTTCTAGTTTAGCCAGGCTGTAGTTGGGCACACTTTTAATCCTAGTACTTGAAAGGCAGAGAAAAGGGATCTCTGAGTGCAAGACCAGCCTGGTCTACAAAGTGAGTTCCAGGACAGCCAGAGCTGCACACAGAAACCTCTGTGTGTGTGAGGGGTGGGAATATACTTCCCCTTCTCTAATAAAATGCTACCTTTGGCTTGCTGTAGCCAAACCATCAGTTTCAGTTCACTGTCCTGTCTCTCAATCCCACAGCAGTCCATCTGAGTCCATCTTCACACCTCAGTCCACTCTTCTGTCACCTGCCACTACTCTGACCTAATGTTGCCTTAACTGGGGAGGTGTGAAGAAATATCTGCTTACCCCAGCCAGATAGGTGACTCAGCTCACCTTAGTGTTCTGCCACTAAGCTAATGCCCCAGCTCTGTTTACTTTTTTGTCCTGAGACAGAGTCTCATTCAGTTGTCCAGGCAGCCTTGATTTTTGGGTTATGGTTTTTCTGTTCCACCTTCCCATGGGCTGGGATTATGAGCATATATATGGTCCATACCTGGTTTGATGAATCTCTCTATATGTGGATTGAACCCAAGGCTTAAGAGTTGTCCAGGCAAGTGCTCTACCACTGAGCTTGCTGTATTCTCAGCTCTTTTTCTAAGGGGGGGGGCATTGAGGGGAGGGTTGCGATAGGGTTTCTCTGTATTGTTTTTGGAGCCTGTCCTGGATCTTGCTTTGCAGGCTGGCCTGGAACTCAAGAGATCTGCCTGCCTCTGCCTTGGAGTGCCGGGATTAAAGGCTCTTTTTTGTTTTTGTTTTTTAGACAGAATCTATACCTCAAACTCATAGAGATCCACCTGCCTCTGCCTCCTGAGTGCTCGGATTAAAGGTGTGGACTACCATGACTAGCTGTGTTCTCATGCATAACTTTAAACTCCAGCAAGAAAAAAACAAAACAACAAATCATGCCTGTCTTAAATTGTATGGGAAAAAATTCCTGGAAAGAAAAAAACCTTACTGAATATGTTTGCATACACAATTAGTGCAGTTTGGTTACTTACCATTTTCTGTTTGGCTTTTTTTTTTTTTTTTTTTTTTTTTTTCTGTATAGCACTGGCTGTCCTGCAATTCAACTGTGTAGATGAGAGCCTTGAACTAAGAGATTTACTTGCCTCTTGCCTCTGCCTCCCAAATGCTGGGATCAAAGGCGTGCGCCACCATTACCTGGTTTTGGCAGGCAGGGGTGGTAGGGGTATGCAGTCTCATGCTGTTGGACTTAATTGGTTTGCCTCTATCTCTCAAGTACTGGGATTGCTTTGCCATATATCACTTGCATGGGCCCAAGTCAAGGACATTTTTTGTGTTTTCTCCCTTGTCTTATTTGGAGACCTGGCTTTGTTAATTTCAGTACCTGACTGGGTGACACTTATCAACTTCTGAATGAACGCTGCAGAGCAAAGCTGGGGCATTAACCCAGAGAGTCTTTGCTGTCATACCCAGGGTATGACATACTCCATGGGTCAGAGCCATGGGTAGACTTCTTTGGATGTTCTCCACTATATCACTTCTGTGTGCAGTCTTGAAGGTAGAAGTTGGGAAGCAGTGGCATCATTGTGAACCCACATTCCGAGTACACAAGGAGGAAACTGCATTCAGTGCTTGCCCTGTGACTAAGGCTGTGAGGCTAGTCATTGCTGGTCAGTCAAGAGTCGGCTTTATGCTTTTTCTTGGGCTTCCCCCAGGACGAGACTTGGCTATGGAAATGGGAAGCCCTGGTAATCTGGTGTAGTTGGTAGTTTTGGGGACCATTGGAAGGCCCTGACCGTGCTCTCTGCTCCCATCCCTTCCCAGCTCCCCCTCCGGGGCTTCGTGGGACACTGGATCTCCAGGTTATCCGTGTTCGGATGGAGGAGCCACCAGCCGTCAGCCTCTTACAGGACTGGGCCAAGCATCCCCAGGGCACCAAGGGGGTGGGAACAGGTGACAACCCAGACTGGCCCACAGTCCTATCAGAATCCAGTTCCACTGTTAAGGGACAACCAGAGGCAGGAAATGGGGTATGAGTTTAAACTTTCCTGGGGAGGGGAGGGGTGGGAGGAAGGAAAGGTGGAGGGAGGCAGCAGTATCCCCCTTTGGCTTAAATCTCAGATCTGCCCAGCGTGGCCACCTGATGGAGAGTTTTAAAACCAGGTGCCAGGAGAATGTGGAAGGAGGAAGAGTGACGTCACTGTCATATTGGGGCAGTAGAAGATGCCTGCCCATGGCATAGCCTGAATTAGGCAGAAGTGACTTAGGCTATTGGGTGATACGGCATTGGGCCTGTGGAGAACACCTTCCCCAATCCTTTGCTGACCCACCCTCTAGCCCCACACCTCCTTCCTCTCAGCTCCCCACCATTCTCCCCTGGCACAGTGCCTTAGCAGAGGTGGTCATGATGGGGTTTGACCTGAGTCCCACTACCTCGGGGGATACCTCTCCTCCCCCACTTCTGGCTCCTACAGCAGGAGGCATCCATTACCTCTTACCGCCTCATCTCTGCCTAGGGCTCCCTTTACCATCACTTCACCTGTTGTCCTGTTGCATCTATTATCCTGTTGTATATATTACCTTTGTTGACAATAAATTATTTTTTTTTTTATTAAAAGTTTGGTCTGGGCCATCATTGGGAAAAGGGAGCAGCTTGAGGGGCAGGGAAACTGAAAGGTAGTCTTAAGTGGGAGCCAGAGACCCCTGTTCTAAGCAAGGGAGCCATGAGCCCAGAGCAGATCCTGATGGGCTTCTGGAATGTTCTAATTTGGTGTTGGAGAGACACCTTCTTCCCCTACTACATTTTCTTTATTTGACTGTCTGAGCTACCCTGTAGGCCTCTGTCCAAGCAAGACAACCCAGGGAGGTAAGAGTTACTGGGGCCTAAGCCAGGTGTGGTGGCACACACCTTTAATCTCAGCCCTTGGGAGGCAGAAGCAGACAGAGCTGACTTTGAGATTAGACTGAACTACAAAGAGTGTTCCAGGACAGCCAAGGCTGTTACACAGAAGGAGAAACCCTGTCTGAAAACCAAAAAAAAAAGTTATTGGGGTCTTCCTGGTCAGCCTACACAGACACCTCTGTAAGGAGAAGGTGGTACATCCCTGCTTGTAGGTCCATACCCTCCACCACACAACTCATCTTATCCCCCAGCCTCAACCCAAGTCTGCCTCAGGTCTCTGCAGACTTTGGACTTCTGAGCTAGCCCTATGCAGACCTACCTAATCTGTGGGCTTTAGCACTTGGGGCCAAATGAAACTTCCAGGTTGCTTCATCTCAAATCATAGGTTTTACTCTCCTGTTCAGAATCTGCAGCAGGTATATAGTGAAGTGGGACCACCCCACACTTCTGGGTGCTTGCCTGCTCCTGGTAAATTACAGAGACATAGGGAGGAAAAGAGAAGGAAGACTCTCCTCAGTTGGGAAGAGTCAGGGTGTGCTATGAGATCTCATGCTGGACTGATAGGAATTGGCCTTTTTAAACCATCTGATATTCTTAGAAGGAGCCCAAGAATATAGAGGGTCCCTGTCCAGGGCAGGCTGAGATAGATGTGAAGTAGAGATGACAGTTCCTTGTGTCCAGATTGTCTCAGCCATGTATGAGGACAGGTGGGCTATGGCACTCGTGGGTTTGCTTGTGTTTTTTGCAGATTGACACAATTTATATGTTCCCTAACAATAGCGCTCACTAACTCTGAAAGCGGCATGTTGGAATTGTAGGTGGTTTCTGTCCCTACAATTGTGTGACTTTACAGTTTTGCTGATGTCCTTTTAAGGCATAGTGGCTAACAAAGTATTGAGGAAACTTATCAAAGATTGTGTTGTAAAATGATGACTGGGAGTGGGTTTTAGGTCTGGGGTCGGGACAGGTGGCTTTCTCTTGCTTCCACTTGGGTCACAGAGGACAGCCGGGGTGGATCCTTGAAGAGGGAACTTGTGTCCATCACCTGCTTCTTGTGTAAGTGACTTCTCCCCGAATAAAGTTCACTTAACCTGTTTTTTAAAAAAATGACTGAAATGCCCCTTTGATGTTGTATGAGCCTGATTTAACCTAGACTGTGAATTCTGGGACAGGGTTTCCAGATTGAATTGACTTTATTTCTGGTGCCCAGCAAAGGGCCTGGCTCATAGGTGCTCAATAAATGTCTGTCAAATGCTTTCTTAGTCTCTAGGTGTGCATTCTGTGTGACCTTTTGCTCATCTAGCCGTGACTCAATTCTTTTTGTTTTAGGCTTTTTTTTTTTTTTTGGTAAGGTATTCTGGCTGTTTTAAACTGATCATCCTCCCAAGTGCTGGGATTATAGATAGTCTCCATTATGCCCAGTCTAACAACAGTAGAAATGTCCAGTTCAGTTACAACAGAAAAAAAGAGTTAACGCTGACCCTTCAGGATGAGGGGTTCAGTGTTGAGGTTATCTGATATGTAAAACCATCTAGCTTCCTAGAGCCCCCTCCTGGTTAGTTAATTTGATCTGAGAGGGGCTAGTCAGATGATACATGCCATGCAAATCTAATGACCAGGTTCCTTCCCTTCCCAGAGCACATATGGTAGAAGGAGACTCTTGGAAGTTGTCCTCTGAGCTCTATGTAGCTGGTACTCAAGAACCATGCACTTGTGCACCTGTCCTCAGATAGAGGTATTGTGGTACCTACCTTTAAATTTCAGTACTTAGGAGGCAGAGAGACAGATCACTTGAGTTCAGAGAGTAGCCTGGTCTACAGAGAGTTCCACGCCATCCAGGTCTGTGCAATGAAGACACTTCCACAAAACAAACAGAAACACTGGGGTAAGGGAATTAATAGCTTGGCTCATGGCTAGGAGTGCTTGCTGCCCTTCTATGTCAGCACCCACATCCGGGGTACACTATGCCTGAAACTCCAGCTCTACATCTACAAGAGTAGTGGTGCCCAGCACTTGGGAGGCAGAGTCAGGTAGATCTCAGTAAGTCTTGAGGCCAGACTGGTCTAAAAGTGAGTTCCAGAACAGCCAGAACTGTTTCACAGAAAAATCCTGTCTCGAAAAATAAAACAAAACTTAAGAACAAGTAGAGCTAGAGAGAGATGGCTCAGTGGTTAAAGGCACTTGCTTCTCTTCTGTAGGACCTGAGTTTGGTTCTCAGTACCCACATCAGATGGTTCACAATTGCCTGTGACTCGAGCTCTAAAGGAACCTGATATCCTGTTCCATGGGAACCTGTATGTATGGCATACATACATATAAATTTTTGAAATTGTCTATGAGGTTTTGTTGTGCCCAAATTCCAAACCCCCAAATCACCAAGAGACCCAATCTGATGCAAAAGCAAAGAGTCTTTAACAAGTTAACTGTATTAACTCGGGTCCTGTGTCCCTCCGACACATCAGATGGAGGGAGGAGGACCTGGTAGGTCTGTGGGGCAGGGAATATATTGGGGTAAAGCACTGGGATTGATGGGGGTAGGGGGCAATGGGGAGGTGGTTCCACAACAGTCTCAGGATTGGTACATTTCTGGCCTTGGGAGCCTATCCTGTGTTGATTGGCCAGCTGCAGCTACAGGTAAGTTGCTAGAGCCTATAGGCCCTCCCAGGGCAGTTACTATGTTCTGCATGTCCAGAACCCTCCAGCTAACTTCTGATTGGTTCTTTGCCACTTGAGGTATCTGGCTTCCTAGTGACTGGGGCAAGGTTGGTAGCTGAGCACTTGTGGCTGAATCAGAGGCCTACCTCCTGCTGGTCTTTTCTGAAGCCTGTTATGGCTGCCAAAGCAATGGGCTAGATGAGGGTTTGGTCCCTTCAGTTTCACATAACTCAAGGAAACTTTAACTTAGCTTGCTGAGTTTATTATAGAGTATACTACCAAGGGTATGAATAGCATGGAATGTCTGTCCTAGCTGACTTGGGATGTGCTGCCATGCTAGGAAGTGGGCTTCCAGGAAAAAATAGAGTGGGCCTGAGGCCCTAATCAGAGCCTGTGGGGCCTCCAGCTCTGTGATTGACAGCTGTAGCCACCTATTGCCCCCAACAGCCCTTGGCTAAGCTATTTTGTTTCTACTGAGTTCTGAGCTCTCAGGGAGTTCCATAGGTGGACCTGGCTGGCCTCAAACTTGTACCATCAGCTCTCCCTCAACTGCTGAGACTGCAGGTATGAGCCATCACCCAACCCTCCAATTCTAAACAGCCACACCTAAATGATGAAAATGTTAACTGCTAAATAATCTTTTTTGTTTCCTTGTATGTTTCTGTACCATGTGCAAGTTGGTGCCTGAGGGAATCTGAGCTGGAATTGTGAACTGCTGTGTGGTTGCTGGAGATCTAACCCAGGAATTCTGGAAGGCCCAGTCAGTGTTCTTACCTGATGATAAATTCTCACCTGATAAGCTGGCCCTCCAGCCCCCAATCTCCAGAGCCTGGAGTCTAATGAAAGTGAGTGATCTATTCTGTGCATCAAGGACACAAAAATGTACAAGTAAAAGTCAGAAGGTTTAACTTGCCAGAGAGTAAGATTTACATTAGCAAAGGAGTCTGCACTGAGAAAAAGAGGACCCACCCACCTTGAGTGGAGAAGCTAAAAGCACTCAGCAGGAGGCTTTCCTGTCCTTTGTCCTACTGCAGCCCTGCCTTTTCTCCCACAAACCCAACTTTCCCTAGGTGGTTGTCTGATTAGTATAAGTCACTTAGTGGTTATTCGGGAACTGGCGGGCTGGAGAGAAACTTCCAGTTATGAACTACACAGACAATCTTATCTCCAGTAGGCTGTTGCCTACTGGTCTTGTCACTGAATCGTACTCTGCCTAACAGGGCTAGCTGGAGGGACTCCCAATAGGTGTAAAGAGATGCTGCTCATCTTAGCCAGCTGATAGTGGCTAGCAGCCAAGCCCAGGTCTTTGGGGGAGGGCATCCCATACCTAGCTTTTCTCCAAAAGGTAACTCCTAGGATCTGGTTGGCCTTGCCCCTCTATCTCAGGCCTCCCTTTGCCATCTCTGCCTCTGGTTCAGGCTGGCTTTCTGGAAGATACAAGAATAGTGACTAACTGGTATAACCACATCACACAGGGTAGGACATAGCCTCCCAACTTTGACATTGGAGTGGTTTACTTAACAGTTTCAGAGGTTCAGTCGATTACCATCATGATAGGGAGCATGTGGTGATGATGCAGCAGAAGTCAGACAAATATTAATTGAATCTTTTTGAAAATGTTAATTCACAATAATACAAAATGATAATCAGGCCTTTAAAGAGTGAGATCAGCATTCATAGATGAATGGATCTGAAATACAGCCCATATTGAGTCTCATACTCATGATACTTGGGAAGGAGAGGTGATTTCCAAATATTTTCAGACAAAATGCCAGATGTTTTAATTGTGATAAACAAGGTCATCTAAAAAGGGACTGTAGGCAAGGTGTTCCTAGAAAGTATGTTTTCGGGGTTATACAGAGATATATTTTAAATAGATCCGTGATCTTCAAACACTTCAAAGATCTATAGAATATGGCATTTAAGATGTTTTAATGCATAAGGCTTTTCTTGACAGTGAGACCTGTTTGCTCCTGGCAGCACCAATCTGCTTCAGAAAATGATGGAGTTTACTTTCTTTGTAGGCAAGAAACTGCCCTGGTCTTGATGTTGACAGTATG